GAACCGGCACACCTCCACCGCAGAGCCGGTGCCATCAGGGCTGGAGACGTGCAGAGAGAAGAGCTCCCTGTGCCAGTTTTGGCACGCACCGTAAATCCACTAACACCATTCTCGCTAATTGCTACAAGGGACTCAAGAATCATTCATGGCCTTTACGCAACTGAACAACTACATTATGTATTTATTTAGATTGATTTTGTAATCCTGTACAGCCAAAGCAAGTTGTAATTACAAGTTGGGATTCCCAATATGCCAAAGCAGATTAACTTGCCTAGCTTGTGAACAGCTTTTTCCTGTTTATTTCACCTAAAAAAATAGGTGAAACCTGCAGCCTCCACTTGCAAGGATGCAGCTTGTCCTTGTCACCCACGTGAGAGGCTGCACCTCTCACGAGCACGACTGATATTTCAGATAAGAGACTGAGCGGAGTGCTTCACTATTTCCTTCTTCAAACCCAGCTTTACACATCCGAATGTCCATCTGACACGGGGAGGGGCTGACACCGTCACGTGTTGATGAATCCGGTGCTGACCTACATCTTTCAAGTTTTAGTATCCAAGCAGTTCTTCACCAGCCATTACCCAAAATAACGTTGCGAGCGTTACAGCATCGCCACCACGCTCCCGCTGCCTCTCCCTCCCCCAGGGCCACGACATGTCAAGATACAGAAACATCCCCGGTGGTCGCCACGCTTCTTTCTTCATGTGCAGCCAGAAGCCCCCGAGGTAAAACGCTGCAGAGGCAGATCAGAGCGCACCCTCTGCCACCAACACGGCGACCCCAACCCGGACAGCCCTCGCCTTGCAGAAGCTGACAGCATCGGGCAGGGCAGCCCCTGCTCCAGAACCGTGCCTGTGAGCCTGAGGGGCTGCTGAGGGAGGGGAAGATCGCAGCGTTGCTTTTTTTCTTTCCTAGTTCCAGGCCTTCCTCCACATCACACTCCTAGCAGGGATGTCTGGCGTTACAAGCCCCATATCCACCACAGCACAGCTAGGGATTGCAGTTTCCAACATTTCACCACTGAACCCAAGCAAACATCCAGCTTAGCAAAGAAAATAACAGAGCCACCCGGTTACGTACCGCAGACCTTTTCGGTTGGGAGCGAGGGACAGGAAATCAGATGAGTCAGCTTTAGCCCATCTTCGTCTAAAGCACACGCCTCTGCGGCTTGCAACAAGTCCTTCCTCCAGCAGAACTGTCTATGTTTCGAGGTGCAAGAGTCTTGATTTGCAGACCCAAGGAGCAAATTGCCAAAGTACAGGCCTACTAGACATTTTAAACCTCTGAGGAATTCTAATGAGCATATATTCAAATCTAAGTAATCACCGAGCGTGGTAAGTACAGTACAAGACACTGGGGATACGCACAGAAAGTCCCAAACACTTAATTAAAATATGAGGCTATTAGCACACAGTTTTATTAAACTTGTGCTGCTAGAGACAAATAGTCCTCCAAATTTTCTTTCATCTCTTTGGCAATCCTACTAAACTCATTTTTTTTGTATTAACTGGAAGCAGTAATTAGCCATAGCACTGTCTGGTCAACTAAGCCACCCCAACCTGTCTCTACTGAAGAGAAGTGCAGATTCCCTAGGCTGACTTAGGGAAACGCGTGCCTTACGAGTTTAAACCCCCAACATCCTCACCAGGATTCACAGATCCCTTAAGGGCTCATTTTTCAGGGGCAGAACTGGAGTATTTTAGGGTGGAGAAGAATCATTCAATTTTATAAGTCTCAAACATATTTCAGGCATGATTTCTAGGTGCCCAGAACTCTCTACTGCACCAAGAGAGAGGGCTGGGGCAACCAGCCCGTACGCGCAGGATGAGGCTGCAGGCTGAAGCACTGGTAAGGAGCGACACCGAGATGGTGTGAACAGTCAGAGCTCCTGAGCTGTATCTCCAGCCCCACGTACCCAGGGTCCCCGACGCACGGCGCAGACCCGTACGATCCTCCGCGGCTCATCGTTACCACGCTCTCCCTCGCTGTCATTACTCCCTGTATATTACTGGCTCAGGTAATTACCCAAGGGCCAACGGTCCAGGAACTGTTTTCTAGGGAAGTTCTGTGATGACACACTATCAACGCAAGTTCCATCCTCACCACAGCAGCAGCAATACCGAGGCATCCTGCGACAACGGCAGAGGCACAAGCCCATTAGAACAATTCAATTACACCTGTCAAACAAACAAAGCCACATATGTTGTTTTTTCCTGTATGGTAAGAAATGCTGGAGATCGCTTCAGTAGGAACAGGCCCTGCCTTCGCAGTTAAGAGAAAACCGTACGACGGGGTATTTTGAGACTGAAATAGCGAAGGGTCACTTCCAAGAGACGCGCGCTTTTAAACCAAGCCTGAACACACCCCCTCATTGCCCAGACCCTCTGCCAGCGCACTTTGAACGCGTTTGCAGCACTATATGAAGAAATGAACCCCCAGAAAACGTAATGCAGTGGTTCTACAGCAGAGAAAACAATTCATTAGGGATTCAGAAGACTCTCCCTCCTGACCATTTCATTTACCATGAATGCGAACGCGTTGGAAGAGCCTTCTGCTTGCACGTACCACCAGGGCCACTGGCAGGGAGAGGGAGCACCACGTGGCGGTCGAGTTCTGGTGGCAGATGAAGAGATTTTTCATCTCAAAGGGCACCAACTTAAGTCGGGATGTTTACAAAGCTTAGACAACTAATCGCACTCTTCTCACATGTACTGAGCTGCAGACATCCTTGTCTAGATAAGGACTGGAAGCAGGCCTCACTAACACAGGAATTACATATTTACTTATTACTGCACTTATTAGTAGCTTTGAAGAAAGAAAGTAGAACCTATTGGTGCAATTCGGTCCACAATCTGATTTTCTGCTGTTCTACTACATGTGAGTAGTTTGCTGGGTATAAACCACTCAGCAAAGCTGCTCAAATACAGTTGTAGAAAGTGAAATTTTAATGGAGTCTGGCCAAGCAATGTGACATTAAAAAAAAAATAATGTTAGAGTACTTTGCAGTGCTACCTGGAAATCCAGCAATGGTTTGCTCCCCCACATCCATACTGACCAGTCAAACCATACAGGTTTGACAACGTATCTCACTACAACGGGTTTATTCAGAGCAAAGACGGCTTTCCCTGCCTGGTGCAGTAGTGCCGAAGGGTGTTGTTAAGGTCAGATTTCCACGGGTATCACAATATTAAAATATGACATTTTGCCTTAAAAAAATTCACCACCGAAGAAGCAGATAAAGCAAACGAATAGGTGGACAAAGAGAAAAGGACAAGGTGACAAAAATAGGAACTTGAACTAAAGTAAACCCTTGTTACAAGACGACATCTAAAATCTGCCTCAGTGTTTTGAAGCAGGTGCGGCTGAGCCAGAAAAACATCCACAGCAAAACCGAGCGGTGCTTGGCTGGTCTGCTTTAATAACTAACCTTAATGAAGCCAAACAAGACATTCACAGACAGGCTCTGTGCGTGAATAAAACTTCTACAGAGTTCACTTCAGGACACAGGCCCATTACCATGGCTCTGATATCAGGAAAACCTCCTGTTATTTGGCAAATCGTTTTCCACCAAGAGGGGGAAAAATTTAAAATTAAATTTTCACTAAGGAGGGAAGAATCTCCCGCTTCTTCAGTAGAAGCTCTTGATGTAACTCAAGGAGGGGACAAGGGTGGAAAGGGGAACTCATGCTTCACCAGAAAAACAAGAAACATTTCATTACATATTAACCAACAGTTTACTCTGATTCTGAACTTGAGCCAGCAAAGGAGAGAAAGGGAGGTCCCAGCATTAGGATTTGTGACTATTTCGTAGCGAAGTCTGTCACTGAAGGTTAGAAGGCAAACTTAAACAGCTCACTGACAGAAGTCCCGGTACAGGATGTGAAATATCTCGCAGCTGAGCTCGGAAACTCAAACCAAACTGAGAAACAGAAACAAGACCCTGCTAGGTCAGGGCTCTACACTCAGCACGCCACAGCTAAAGACGCAATACACGAGTCTTCTAAACAGCTCGCAAGTTTTTTCTCCCACTACGAGATAAACCCTTGTGAATAGTTTGTTTTGGCTGCAGAAGGCTCCCCTCCACAGCAGATAAACAACTATCTCGCAGGGCTGTGACAAACAGCTTGCTGCGGAAAACACAGCTGGCTGCGAGGTCCCCGCAAGCAGAGCGCGGCCCCAAGAAAAGGGAAAGTTTCATACACCCAGCCCTACAGATGAAGCCTAACACCAGGCCTCTCCCACAGTTAATTTTAATTAGTTACTTGTGCCCTGACTAATCGGCATGTAACTGGCACTTCGAAAGCTTCCAAGCACAGATCTTGAGTCACTGAAATAAAAAAGGTTGACAACCCTTGTCCCCATTTTACAGCTGCAGAAATCAACTGAGAAGAGCCTTGAATTACTTCCCAAGCTCATTAGTCAGAAGTGAAACCAAGAAAAAAAAACAAGACTCCTTATGCCCATTGGGCGCACGGTCCATTGGATCGCGTTCCAGGCACCCCCTACGCGGGTGGGAGCGGTAATCGCCATCCCAAAGAGCTGAAGGAGCACGCACCCCTGGATGGGTACACAAATAACGCAGAACGCAACGACACAAAGGGTACGTCTGTGCTCTCAGCTACACCGCCTCTCACCTTTCCTAGCCGACAGCACCACGGTTTACCTCCTCAATGTGGAATCTTAAAAAGGAATTTCTTTAGAAACACTATTTTACTCTTTAAGCCATACTACTAAAAAAGCGACGTGTGTTGCGGGCCGCCTGTTCAGACAGACGGACCTGCCTCCCCGGCCCTTGAGAACCGGCTCCCTTCCCTGTTCCCAACCGCAACAAGAGCGCTGGCTGCGGTTCAATGGTAAAGACATTCCTGAATACCTACGGTTTAGGAAGCGCTTCCACAGCAGAAAGCCATGTTGTGACTTAAAATGATATGGAACTTCGGGTGGAAAATAATGACAAAGTTTAACCCCTCGGTTCCCAGCTGCTGGAAATATTTACTCACTTTTTCACATTTGCCTCCCCATTGGGAATTCTGCGTAGCTTCTTCTTCTTCAGTATTTTCACAGCTCTCCTACAGAGGGTTTCAGAGTCCAACATCTCCTTGACTTTGCCGTAAGACCCTTCTCCAAGTAAGTCTCCCATCAGGTATTTGCCAATGAGCTTGGCCCTTTTCCGCCGAGGCTGGTAGATGACCTCCGTAGAGTCAATGCGATGGATAAAAGTGTCCATCCCCACAGACATCAGCTCGCTCTCTGCAAACATACCCAGCTGCTGTGGCTCCTGCATATCCATCCTGGATTAAGTTCCTTAACCTGTTTTCCTCAAGCGCCCAGGGTTTTAATCCTGTTTGTTAGTTTCCAACACTCCCTTTTACTCCTTCTTGAAAAAAAAAATCCAGAAGATTGTACAAACATGAATAAAAAAAACAAAACCAAAAAAACCTATGAGCTGCTTCCAGCTCAATTGGATGCTAAAAGATCCAGGCCTGGCTCCAGTAACACAATGTCTTTTAAAAAGAATATATATCTTTGACCAGATACACTCAGTTTGGGACTTGCTTTGCTTCTGACCTGGTCCCACTGCTAGGGTTCTCTCAAGTCAACTTGGCCTTTAACTTGGCCCAGTTTGATTCTTAAGTGCTAGGTCATCCTCTGGGACTTTAGGCCACCACATAAAAACAGACAATTGCCGAGTCTCTTTCGTGACTTTCCATTCCTAGTAGACCATAGTCACCAACTCCAAACTGGGTGACAGGCGAAGCGTTTCTGCCCTGCTGTCCTCACCGTCCCGGTACGAGCACAGATGGGGTTTTTCAGCCGTTCGGAAGCTGGAACCAAGTTTCCTTGAAGGAGTTTTCAGAAACAATTCTAATGTCTTCGCTTTTCACGCCTACAAAAGTTTGAGGCCTTCGGTGCCTATCAAGATCTCCCAGGGGCATCCTTCAACCACCTGGATTCCGCCTGGCACATGATGTGTCACCACCACTGGTCCAGGTGTCAGCCGGTGTCAGACAACGCAAAACCTACCGCAGCGTTACCGGCCCACCTTAAAACGGGAAGACGGGGGAGGCGGGAATTCTCTCTGCCCAGCACCCAGACCACCCCATTCCCTTTCCGACACGGGAAGGTCAACGCGGAGGCGCCAGCCTCGCCCGGGCTCCCCCGCTCCCTCGGGCCCCTCCACAGGTGTCAGCCGGGGCGGGGAGGAAACAAGCGACACCGCGGCCGCCCCCGGGGGGAGCGGGGAGGGGGCGAAAAGGGGATATAAAACACCTTAAGTGCAACCAAACCAGGGGTGGAGCCAGGAGGGGAGGGACCCCCGGGGGGCGAGGGGACCCCCGGGCCCTCCCCCGCCGC